ACGTTTGTGTATAGTGAGGTTAGTATTTTGGCTAAAATACTTAAGACACACGTCACATTTGTATCGCTTCTCGCCAGTATGCAGGCTTACGTGCCTTACCAGACTAGATTTCGCCGCAAAAGATTTTAAACAAACGCCACATTTATAAAGCCTTTCTTTTGGGTGCACGCTTTGGTGTCTTACCAGACTGTTTTTTTTCCGTAAAACACTTTAAACAAACGTCACATTTGTATGGCTTCTCCACAGCGTGCGTGCGTTTGTGTGTCACCATATAGGATTTTACCGAAAAAGATTTCAGGCACACAACACATTTGTAGGGTTTTTCGCCAGTATGCAGCTGTATGTGCGTTGCCAGATATGATTTCGACGTAAATGATTTTAAACAAACGGCATATGTGTATGGCTTCTTCCCAGTGTGCGTGCGTTCGTGTATTACCAGATAGGATTTGATCGAAAAAGATTTCAGGCATACAACACATTTATAGGGCTTTTCGCCCGTGTGCAGCCGTGTGTGCGTTACCAGACTGCATTTCGCCGTAAAATTTTTTAAACAAACTCCACACTTGTAAGGCTTTTTATCAGACTTGGGTTTTTTTGTGTGAACGATTAGCCGTTGCAGTACTGTGGATGGTAATCATGTGACGGAGAATTTGCTTTTAAATAAACATTTTTTACACAAATCGCAAAGGAACGTCTGAGGTTTGTTTGAATGTTGGTTGGTTATAGTTTGTGCCATTTGATCTATTTGTATATTCGTTTGATTGGTAATTTCGGTTAGGTCCTGCACTAGAACAAACAATATCATGCCGTTCAAAAAAAAAAGTTTATAAAAACATATTACAGTATTTATTCATTAAAATATCGGTATATTTATATTTAAAAATGATTAAGCAATATTATTATACAAAAATTTAGAATAGCTAATTTAAGATATTATTTTCCAGAGCTCTGACCACTTTTAGAACTTTAATAGCTAGGTATATTATTTATTTACTTAATTCTAATTATGAATAATTTGCCAAAAACGTTGATTGGTCAATAGCCAGTACTGGATAATTCATTTTTTATAAGTGCGCTATTACTCTGCTGTACTTCACCTTCCGTCTTAGTTATAAACATGAGTTGATATAACAAATTGGAAAAAAATAAAATTTTGAAGACAATAGTCTTACAGTGTAAAATAATACTATGTCAACTTTAGTCAAACTTATTTTAATTAAGGAAAACCCTACAAACAAAGGGATATTGACACATTGATCAGAAGCAATTTTTGAATTGCTGTATGTGAGTAAAACAACGGCCAGCAGATAATTGAAAATATATTTAGTATAAGTACACTTTTGTTTTATACCTACTGTTAATCATTACAGTATATTAGCTATTATTCAACCAAATGTAAGAAAATATTTTATTATCATGATATAACTATTATACGAAACATGTTTATATTTTTACTCGCTCTTACTTTACCGCACTACACCCCCATCTTCAATTTTAAACATAAGTTGATATAACTGGAAAAATAACATTGTTAATATTTTCCGGAATTTTCTAAAAAAATGGATATTGACACATTGATCAGTGGTAACTATTGACTTGCTATATGTGATTAAAACAACGGTCAACAGGTAATTGAAAATGTTTTCATTTATTGTTAATTATAATATATTTGTGTATTAGAATGTAATAATAATAATAATAATTTAGTAGAAGCAAATAAAGCAAATAAATATTAACTGCGCCCATATAGGCATGCAGTACAGAAATTAAACAGTAAATTAACAATTTAACCAATAGAAATACAACATAACTAAACTAATACAAATTAAATTTTAATAATAAAATATTATAAACAAAAATAATAAACTTAATAAAACATATAATATTTTTGAGCATGAATTTTGGGGAGGGAGTCGAAATAAAAATCAACATTACCTAAAGTATCACAGTTAGAAATAATCCTATTCAGAGGAGCATGCGTACTATAGTCTTGTTTTTGAGTAGAAATATACAGGAAAGGAGGGGATCTGGTATGATGTGTTGGAACATTAAAAGGAATATGGGCTAAAAGCTCGGGACAGTCAATATCATTATTTAATAACTTATAAATAAATTTGATGTCATTATTAAATCTTCTTTTGGCAAGCGAATCTAAATACCAACCGCTATGTCATCTATTCTAGAATCCAGAATCCCTAACTTAATCCTTAGCATATACAGAAACCGGTTTTGTATTTTATCGAGATCTTTGACTTGTCCAATTAGATAAGGGCACCATATAATCGAGCCATATTCGACAATTGACCTAACAAGGGAACAGTATAAAGTTTTTGAGCACTTAAGGTCATTAAACTCAAAACAGTTTCTTTTTAAAAATCCAAACATCCTAAAAGCCTTATTTTTTATGTGCGAAATATGTTCCTTAAATGACAGGTCACTTGACAAAATTATACCTAAATCCTTTATATGAGTTACTATATTCAGCGCAATACCGTCAATATTATAATGGAAAACAGGTGTTTCTTTGCTCCTACAAAATGTGATTTGGGAGCATTTAAGGGCATTAATAAAAAGGGAGTTATTACTGCACCACTCTTGGAATCTATCCAAATCAGCTTGCAGTTTCCTACAATCATTGACACTATTTATTTCCAGACAAAGCTTTAAGTCACCGGCAAACAAAAGGTACTTACAGTAATAAAAAACAGTATCTAAGTCATTAACAAAAATATTAAATAATATTGGAGATAAATGACCACCCTGTGGTACTCCAGAGATAACATCAATACACTTCGATAAACAATTATTAATTTTTACAATCTGTTTTCTATTAGAAGTATATGAATTAACCCAACTTAAGAAAGAGCCACATACACCTAGCGGTTCAAGTTTGAAAATTAACTTCCTATGATTAACACTATCGAAAGCTTTCCTTAAATCAGTACAGATAGCATCAATTCGACTCTTATTACTTATTACAGAGACTAAGTCTGAGTAAAAAACTAATAAATTAGTTACAGTTGATTTTTTTTGCGAAATCCATGTTGGCACGATGTAAGTGTATCGTTTAAAATACCTGAGATCTTTGGTTCTAATAGCTGTTAAAATAATTTAGGCAAGGCACTAATTTTAGAGATAGGTCGATAATTAGAAATATTCGACCTATCTCCAGCTTTAAAGATAGGAAAAATGTAGTTGACTTTCCAAGAAGAAGGATAAACCCCAGATGATAAAGACAGACAAAAAAGAAAATGTATGGGACGAGTAAGAGAGTACCGGCAATTATAAAAAATAATACATGGTATTAAATCAGGTCCAGTTGTACAATCAATTGTTAGCATGGACAATCCATCAAATACCTCAGCAATAGATAAAATACACGTAGAGAAATCAATAATATTATTACTTGTTTATAAATTGGAGAAAGATTGATTAACGGTTACTACGGGCGTATGCACTGATTCAAAAAATGATTTAAATAATTCAGTAATTATGACAGGATTGTCAGAAAATTTATCATTAAATTTCATATGTTTGGGTGATGAATTTATTTGTTTACGGTCCTTAACAAACTTCCAAAACCCTTTTGGATTACTTGACAAATTCTGCTGTAGACGTTTAATATAATTATTATAACAGACTTTTGATAATTATTTACATTGTAAACATTGAATATATACATAACGTATAGTGTATAACGGTATAGAATGTATAACTATGTCAATACATCATTATAGTCAGACGATCTAAAGCACAGTATTGACATTACGTTTTTACCTCAATACATTATTAATAAATTATATTTTTTTTATACTCCGCTCATTATAGTGTTGTTAAAAATTATAATATAAATGTACTTAAGTATAAAATAAAGTGGTATTCTAATACGAGAGCTAAATATTTTTTATCGACGTGTTGATTATTATTTTTTAATAAAAGAAATAATTAATGTGAGGTGCAGCGTTTACAGGTTAGCATCAAAGCATTATTTTGAAAGTGGTTTTATCCGAGAAGACTAATACTGTAGGGGCGAGGCATATTGTTATCAAAGCATAGAGAGGACGGAGAGATCAAAGGACTACAGGAATTATTATTAAAATAGTCACCCTAATATAAAATCACTCTCAAATAAACGCTTTGATGAACGATTTTTAAACACTGCAATTCTCTCACTTTAATTATTTCTTAGTATGCTGATTTATACTGTACTTGGTTTGGATCTCTCCGTTCTACTATGGGCTGACCCCAATGTATTGTCTTTTTTAAAAATAGTACAAGAGCAGTATCACAAAGTTAAATTTCCCGACAGTTGATCTAGACATAATACAAAGTATTATCATTCATGTTTTTTAATTATTGTTAAAATATATCTTTATTTGGACATAGTAATAAAATAATGAAATATTTTGTACAATACCAGAGCTGGAAGTTGATAAACTAAAAATGTTTAAATAGCATGAAGCAGATTAATCCAGCGTGTGTTTAAATGAATAACAGTATAACAATATGCTTAGGCATTAGTGTTTTGCCATTTTGATTGAAATATTTAGTTAACATTGTATTAAATAATCTCATAATTTCATAAATTTGTTTTGCTTTTAGTTTTATAATTTGTACTTACAATTTCCTTTTCTAAGGTTATGGCTAATTGATAGTGAACTGTCAACAATTACACTCCATAACACAGACACATGACTAACACATAAAAGATTAACGTTTAATATGTATGTAAAGTTTAACTTCAAGTACATGGTCCGACAGTGAAACCGGACCCTGTATGTAATATACAAACATAATCTTAACAAACATTTAGCAGTCTTTGAAAAAAAAAGGTTTTTTACTTCTATAACCCATAACTTGCTTACAAAACATAAAACATGAGAGATATTTCTAACACCCACTTTGTTCTGTCATAAGGATAAATGTAAATAAATAATATTAACAATTTCATTGAATCAGCAGTACTGAAGCTAGTAAATACTAAATAGCAAGTCACTTACCAAGCTGAACGAATTTGCCTCGGCAAACACTTCCAACGCTTCTAAAACAATAGCACTTAAAATAAACGTTCACTTAGTCTAACATAACAAAAAAAAACCGATAATCAATAAACAATATTAATGTAGATTTCACTATTGCAAAAAAAAAAATTCAAATATTTCCGGATTAAACTTTTATCAGCTGTCACTTTTTGAATGTCATAATTTTATCTACATACCTAATTTACATTAATTGATAATTAGAACTATTATAGTATCATCAACTTATATGTTATAATTTCTCACGAAATGGCTGGCAATTTTTAGTTACTTAAATTCAATTCATCCAATCCGCCAAAAAATACGAGTCCTGTTCAAATCGACTTTTTATCAACTGTGACTTAATAAAATACATATTCATTTAATTATGTATTAATTAAATAACGACAAATTGGTTTTTATTGATTAATAAAAATTGATAACGGAATCGTCAAACAACGTCAAAAACATAACCAAATAACACTGATTTTTTTTGTTTCTCACATCTGGTACACCGTTAATGAAGTTAAAATTTTTAATTAAAACCTAAAACTGGTATTTGGGTTTCAAAACTCAATAGTATCATTCAGAATAGATGTCCATAAAAGTGTTGAAACTGATTTGATAAATATTTTTTAAGATTTAAGGTGTTTATGTTAAAATATACAATATCTGCGAAAAACACAGTTTCCGGCAGTTAAAGAAAACTGTAGTGCCGAATTTTTTCTTTGTTTAATATGTTATAGATACATATGAGTTCTAACTACTGACTAATTTTCAACTTGTAAGTCCTAAAAATACGACTGAAAACCCCCAAAAAACTTGCACCTCCTCCCCCCCCCCTAGAGAGATGGAAAATGGGTATAATTTAAGTTTGAGACTATTGACGTGTGAGGACCTATCAAATAAATTTTCCTTATAAATTTTAACTCGATCCGACTCTTTTTACCTAATTTTACCAGCTACATGCTGCCTTTTGTTCTAACTTTTAAAATTTGCTTCATTTAGTCTATCTCCAATATTTAATTTTATCATAATCCTGAAATGCACCCAACAATATTAACACTTTTTTTGTTGTTATAACGCGATATGGAACTAACCTAGTTATTTTTCTTTAAAATGTGTGTTTTTTCACAATGATGGCGATGGTGAAGTCAGTTTTTAGTCAGTCGGACTATTACTAATTCTATTCAACAAAAAATGACAAATGTACAACACAAAGTATTAAATGTCTAAAAGATTTTTTTTTTGTTTCAACAAGTATACAGGGTGATTCATTAAGGATAAGACACTTGTTTTCTCGGAATATATTTATATTTTTTTCCAAGATTTTTTGGTTTACATTGTACTATATTTTTCAATATTTTGAAAATTTGTTATCACCAATCCTTGAAGGCCATAAAAGGGGGACTTTAGTTTTTTTTTAATGGCAACATATGTGTTTAATTACATACGTTTGTAGACAAAAAATAAAAAAAATAATTTTAACATTTGAATTTTCATTTATTTGTTCATTTGTTATGACTTTATAAAGATTTGATTTTTTGACTGTATTCCTTAATATTTTCAATCGTTACTACAAAGACGAATTGATTGATTACACGCATAAAAATAATTTGATAAAGTGGGTTCGTAAAACCAACCTGTGTACCTGTGTTGGACTAGGTAATCTGTAGATAAGTATCGTTTGTCTATCATTATTTCAGTCTTTTATACCAGTGACTTTTTTTTGTTAAAGTGTTATCGCCAATAGACAATGTAAACATAAATATGAACTTTATGGGCTACCGGTTTTGGAAAACCGAAGAAACATGTTAATTATTAAAAGAAAATGTAGTATCTTAAAAAAGTCATAGCTAATAATTAAATAAATGAAAATTCAAACGCTAAAATTTATTTTTTATATTTTGTCTACAAATTTATGTAATTAAAAACGTATGTTGCCATTAAAAAAAAACTAAAATCCCCCTTTTTGGCCTTCAAGGATTGTTGATAAAAATTTTCAAAATATTGAAAAATATAGTACAATGTGTACCAAAAAAATCTTGGAAAAAAATATTGTTCAAAATATTAATATACTCCGAGAAAATTAGTGTCTTATCCTAATGAATCACCCTGTATAGATTGTTTCTGGAGATTTAGTAGGTATCAGTCAGCCGCCAACTGTCAGTAGATGCGTGAAAAACATCCAGACTTTTAGCGTCTAAATTAACTAGTTTTATACAATTTCCGCAGACTTTAAATGAAAAGAGAATTACTTTTACTTAAAACTTTAAAAAGTATGACTTAAACTTATTTATGAATACTTATTCATAAGCATTGCTTTTGAAAGTAAGACTTAAGAAGAGATTTAAGAACAGACTATGGATACGGCCCTAAGACCTTAAGCTCTAAAAATTTACTTGAAAAACCGAACTAAAGAAACAGTTTCCATCCTTTTTAGGGAAAATATTTTTTGGTATTTTTTATTGGTCGGTTTATCGGTAGTACATTATCTAAAGAATATTTCATACAAATTTTGAATTAATTTGTCTGTTTTTAAAAAAGTTTTAGGGCACCGCCGTATCACGTTGAAAAACAAGTAAATTGTTTGGGCTTTTTCAGTGGAAGAGGTGGACTTTTTGTGAAATTTTCGGGCCAATAATATGCCTTTCATGTACGATTTCTGGTCTATAGATTTGTTACACTATAAAATCGATCGAGCGGCTTGGAAGACATCGTGGATAGACAAAAAAAAAAATAAATAATAAGAACATCATTGTAATACTAATACGTTTTCAGATACGCATCGAAGCTGATTGATCAATTATATGATCTACAATTTGTCAATACTTATTAATGCTACTCAGTAGGTTGCGTATTATGTCTAAAACTTACCTGGAAACTGGCGACCGGTGTTTGTTTTGTTTGGGGATTTTTTTTCCACAACGCTCTTGTGCTACGACAACGAAACGAGAGAACGATTACACTGTAGGGGTGCAAACTTCAACTGCACTACACTAACCTGTACAATGTACAACACGGCGGTGGATTCTGCACGGTTCGCCGGGACCGGTGGGTTGGACTTACCGGCCGTCTGGCTGACACAATACACATTAATCGATAATCCACCCGGCAGGTCTGACGGGGTGGCTTTGTAAAGTGCACGGTGCAATACTAATGAGGGCCGAGGGATGAGCCGTGTCGTCTGGCCTGCAGCCAGCCAGAGTGTAATATGCAAACCAATAAAAAGACATAATAATGTCAGTACACCATTGGCTGTGTTCAAAATTCAGACACTTAGGGTCCAATTGGGTTTTCCACTTCTATTTTTTTTTTTTTAAAACATGTTAATAGAATATTATAAAAATGTTACATTTTGTACACAGAACAATTGTTTTTTTTTTTTATTAAACAAATATAAAATTTATCAATTTCAAAAGTTTTGATTAGAACAAAGGCCCAATTTTACAACATTTAAAAAATTCCATTCAAGCTATGTACTTTCATGTTATTATTATTAACTCGCTTACTTATTACAATAGACATATGATTGATGTAATATTATCTTAAATGATTCACACAAAAAAAGGAAGCTAAACGTTTTTCAGGCAACCTATTTTATTTATAAACGTGATTTTCTATAATTTTAATATTCACATAAATATGAATACAATTTTTATTAATACCTACTGCTAATCCTTAAATAAATTAGCTCTTCTTCAACCAATGTGTAAGAAAATATTTTATTATCATGTACCTATTATATGAAACATACTTATCTTTTTACTCAATTACAACTAAAAATCATAAACCAGTACTATGAAGGCGATGCATAGTGGGAACGGAGAATATTGGGATTGGGAGGTCACAGGTCTATATGAGTTAATACAACTGAACAAATATTTTTAAATAACCGTTGACTGTTAATTCACTCACACAGTATGATCGTTTGACTACGGTCAAATGTTTATTTTAATATTACTGGTTTTCAAATTGACAAAATTATATTATATTTTAAGTGCCATATTTCAACTGGGTTTGACGGAAATCAGTCATGGTGACAATGGTCGAGGGTCATTTAAGAGGAAAACGGAAACCAAGAACTGAGTTGGACGGATAGTGTGCAGAAGGACCTGAACTTGCTAGGAATAGATAATATGGCAATAAATAGTAATAGCTAGAAAGAAGTATTGGGTACGGCAAAGGGCATAAATTATATCATTATGTTATTTTTACCAAAACGTTTATTATCTAAACGGTTCAAAATCTAGAAATGCAGAAAAATGTACAACACAAAGTATTAAATGTCTAAAAGACGTTTTTTTTTTTTGTTACAACAAGTATAAAGTAATACTTACTAAAAGCATTACTTATCTCCTCTGATATTCAGCATTAACAAGTCCTGGCTACCAAGATACTAGTTTTCAACTGATATATAAGAAAATATTTTATTATTTTTGCTCAGTGTTACTTGTTTTCAAACGGACAAAGTTATGAATGCATCATGAGGTATTTTAAAAGAGAAAGTCTAAGCTTGCAGAATCTTTTTCCAAAGAGTTTGCAATTTAGAATTGTTAGAATATTACTAATTTTTATTAAGCCGTGCCTAATAATTTTAAATGAAAACTAAAATCGTGTTATTACGGTTAATGAATTGCACGGGTCTGTACTAGTGTTTATATTATAAATTTCGAATATGAGATACAATATTGTGTAAATAATACAAAACCACGTAGGCATATGCATTAAATAAAGTTAACTTAAAAATAAAACATTGTTTAATAAAATGTATTAAACAAACAAAATGTAGAAATGCAGAACAATTTGAAACACAAAGTATTAAATGTAACAGAGACCTCTTATAAATTATAAAAAGAAATATTAGATAAACTAACTCAAAATTCAAAGTAGGGTGCCCCCTACTAAATGTTATTCAAGCTATATTATTATTTATTTTTTTTTTTACTGTTTACCCATTTACTGTTGTGCATATATTTTATATGGATGTAAATATTCAATATAATATGTGGATGGTAATCATATGACGGAGAATTTGCTTTTTGGTATAAAAACATTGCTTGCACAAATCGCATAGGAACGTCTGAAGTTTGTTTGAATATCGGTTGGTCATAGTCTGTGCCATTTGATTTATTTGTATATGTTATTCGTTTTATTGTTCATTTCGGTTATGTCCTGCTCTAGAACAAACAAATCTTAAAAGGCGTATTTAAACACAATCTGGTTAGATAATTATTTGTAATAATAATTCATATTAAATTAGAAATATAAAAATATTATCATTTCTTGTGTAACTAAAATATTACAAAATTTATTAAAAATGTACTACTAGGGACATGGAAATGTATTGTTTAATAAATGAAAATAAATTGCTAGTATATAATATGAATTATGACACACTATTGTGAGTAAAAAACCAAAACGTGTAAACATACGCATCAAATGACTAGAACTTAAAGCATTACGTTAGTTAATATAAATTAATAGCAAACCTCCCAAGGGAGTACAAATCAATTTACAACACAAAATAAAAGCTGTGTTTTTCTAAACAGCAAGTATAAAATTCAGACGAAGACTCTGATTGCAACTTGTTAAATATATATTTTTCTCTGTCCTGTAAAATTTACATTTTGTGACTCAATACACTTCTTCTATTGGGTGAGGATATAAGGTTGGCCTTAATTTTAGTTTGTCCAACTGTGTATTTTATTGTCAGTGCAGCAAGCTAAATTTTGCTAACCTTTAAAACCTTTTTTTTTAGACCCAGTGGACCACAATATTTATTTTGTCTACACATGTCGAATCGTAGGATTGTGCATGAGAACAAAATTTTCAACATCATACACAAAAACTGCTAATGTTTTAACCGACTATGCTTGTGTCATATGTCAATATTAATAAGTGTCTAATTTAGTTCAAGCTGCATTAAAAGATAAAATATGAAAAATAATAATAAAAATTATATGATTCTAACTTCAGTTGTTTAGTTTTAGAAGACAATGATATTTCATTATACGATTATGTAGAAAATAACATAAGCCCGATAGGTAAGGTCTTTATGGTATATGCGAAATATTCAAACAAAGCTTTTGAAATGTGTATTTATGTCATTGAAAAGGGAGCCCCCCCCTCTTAATTAGGTAGAAATTATTTACATACAATTAATTATTCACCCTTATATAAAAATGTAAGTTACAGTAATAATTTAGATTAAGATCAACCATAAAACCATTTGACACATTGTAAAACATTTTATTTGAATACATTTTTTTTTTATTTGTACAATGTAATTTAATTTGTAAAGAGGCTTTTAACGGATTTTATTATTCTGGAAAGAATACATACTAACTTAAATATGATATTACAATAACTCAAATAACATAAATAAATACAATTACCTAAAAAGAATAATTCCAAGTAACCGTATAAGTAAATTTAAGTACAAAATAAAATAATGAATAACAATGACTATCTGCAATAAATGTTTAGATTTAACCTCTGATGTTATACCTGTAAATATGTAAACATAATGATAAAGAAATAATTCCGCTTGAAGTTAAAAAATTTAAATAGGCAACTTTGCTGTAAACGTTTAGATTTTATTGTGAGTATACCTCCGTCTAATATAACATGTTTTAATTTGCATTATTATTTGCAGACAAAAATGAAAGTGATTTATGTGTTACTCCTCTGTACTATTTTTAATGTTTTGGCAACTAAAGGTATGTAATTAGTTGTTACAAGTACCCAATCAAGGTACTTGTTTTAACTTTAAAAAAAAACTAAACAAAATTAAATAATCAACTTTTTTAAAGATAGAAAGAAGCTTGATGCGACACATCAGTCGCGTTGATCTCCATTTTCTAGTTTTTAAACTATGTTGAAAACGTATTTAAGTGGGTGTGGACGCGTTGACTAGCTGCAGCAGGGTCTAAGTTGGATGCATATAAACATACTTAGAATTTTTTTTTTTTTAACCCGTAGATTGGTTTGGAACTCTTTTGCTCCATTCTTCACTGTCACTCGCTATTTCTTTTAACGCCCTATAGCTTCCAACTCCTACATCTTTCTTGATTTGTCCAATAAATGTAATGCGAGGTCGCCCAGGTGGTCTTTTTCCTTCGATCATGCCCTATAGTATTGTGCTGTACAGTTCTTCTGGATGTCTTAATGTGTGTTCCTCCATTCTCCATCTTCTCTTCCTAATCAAATAACGATAATGTTTTATCACTAGTTAAAAGTGTCACGTTTAACTCAAAATGTACTTGTATTCAGAACATTTTTGTACATATAATGTCGCACTAAAATTTCATTTGATTTGTTTTTTTTTAATTATTTGTTTATTTCAGGAACCACTAGGGACAAAATAAAATATTTTGATTTTCAAAGAAATGAATTCTAAATGGGTAACTATTATTTTACAACAAAACCGATTAAGTATGCTAGTAGAAGAAATGTTGGAAATGGTACAATAAATGCAAAAACAATTTATCAATGCAAATTTATGAGTGATATAAATATTAAATTTAAATCACTCAATATTTATTTGTAAATGTAACTTTATTATTACTATCAAACATGTATTTTCTACCTTGACTTCCTCTTTTAAATTTATAATTGAACATGAAGTTAAGTCTAATGTCATTTATAAATACATTTTTGTAATCATAATTTCAGAGAAATTGACTTTTATGTTTGCACTACCTGGTAATAATTGAAAATATTTCCATATAGTTGCTGGTTATTTACAAGTATAAAATGTTTTCCTTTTAATTTCAGATATTATTAAATTTTTTAATTAAATATTATTAAATGCCAATAATTGGAAACATGTGTTTATAGAGATTATAGTTCATAAATCACCTTATAGTCAGGCAAATGGCATGTATAACAAAACCATTAAATTTATTATATTAATCATTTTAAGTATGTCTTACCACTTTAAATATGACTGTGAATGAATATGTCTGTAATAAATTATGCATAAAAACTGTAAGTCTTAAAACTTAAAAAAGTATTTT